ATTATCTTTAAAACTTCATTAAATGCCGTTTTATTGTTAAAAAACATTTCTACAACATTAAAATTTTTGGCCGTCAGGCAGCTGGGCTGCCAGGCCGCCAACTTCACATAAATGAGAAAATAAAAAAGTTCTCTGAAAGTGATTTTTTCTTTTGATATTTCCTTTAAATAACAATAATTATCTTTAAAACTTCATTAAATGCCCTTTAATTGTTAAAATAACATTTCTACAACATTAAAATTTTTGGCCGTCATGCCGCTGGGCTGCCAGGCCGCCAACTTCACAAAAATGACAAAATAAAAAAGTTCTCTGAAAGTGATTTTTTCTTTTGAACTATCCTTTAAATAACACTAATTATCTTTAAAACTTCATTAAATGCCGTTTTATTGTTAAAAAAACATTTCTACAACATTAAAATTTTTGACCGTCTGGCCGCTGGGCTGCCAGGCCGCCAACTTCACAAAAATGAGAAAATAAAAAAGTTCTCTAAAAGTGATTTTTCTTTTTATATATCCTTTAAATAACAATAATTATCTTTAAAACTTCATTAAATGCCGTTTTATTGTTAAAAAACATTTCTACAACATTAAAATTTTTGGCCGTCAGGCCGCTAGGCCGCTGGGCTGCCAACTTCACAAAAATGACAACATAAAAAAGTTCTCTGAAAGTGATTTTTCTTTTTATAAATCCTTTAAATAACAATAATTATCTTTAAAACTTTATTAAATGCCGTTTTATTGTTAAAAAAACATTTCTACAACATTAAAATTTTGGCCGCCAGGCCGCTGGGCTGCCAGGCCGCCAACTTTACAAAAATGAGAAAATAAAAAAGTTCTCTGAAAGTGATTTTTCTTTTTATAAATCCTTTAAATAACAATAATTATCTTTAAAACTTCATTAAATGCCGTTTTTTTGTTAAAAAACATTTTTACAACATTAAAAATTTTGGCCGTCAGGCCGCTGGGCTGCCAGGCCGCCAACTTCACAAAAATGAGAAAATAAAAAAGTTCTCTGAAAGTGATTTTTTCTTTTGATATATCCTTTAAATAACAATAATTATCTTTAAAACTTCATTAAATGCCGTTTTATTGTTAAAATAACATTTCTACAACATTAAAATTTTTGGCCGCCAGGCCGCTGGGCTGCCAACTTCACAAAAATGACATAATAAAAAAGTTCTCTGAAAGTGATTTTTCTTTTTATAAATCCTTTAAATCACAATAATTATCTTTATTTTATGCTTTTCATTGGATTACTGATTTATCCGTGAAAATTATATTTGATAATTTCACAGTGAAAATTATCAAAATATAATTTCACACTTTTCAATGACGAAACTACTTTTTTTAGATTTTTCCCATGTGGTACCTCAATTTTATTTTTGCTAACAATTCTGACAATGTCAGGCTGTTTAAAGAAAACGCAAAGCTGAAATTGATAATCAACTTAATTGTCAAAAGTAATAAAAAGAAGAAAACTTACTTCTATTCATTCAAATTCCAATCACCAAATTTCATCTCTAAATTTTTTGTTTCATTTTTACAGTCCTTCCACATGCAAACTGCCCTTGATGACATTTGGGCACATTAAAGTATCCTACGAGCAATAACTGCCGTATGCTTTAAGAAAAATTGAAAAGCAATGACAGCTATCACCTCGTAGAAAAATTAAACCACCTAGCGTTCCGAGCAAGTTCCAACTTCCAAGTTTTCCATTTTCATAGCTGCTTTTTTTCATGTTTTCACATCTGTCAACACTTATTTTTTGTCTGTTTCAATCCTCAAATATGTTTTCTTTCTTTTAAAAAGGCGTATGACTAACAAATCTAAATGATATCCCTCTGAATCAAACACAATTATTTTCCTCCCGTGAAATACACAACTTTAAAAAATGGCTGCCGCTTACATTTAACAAAGCAAGGTCTAATATAAATACGCAGTAAGTAACAGAAATATGGATGGATGGTTGGAATTTTTCTCCTACAAGAATTGTTTTTTTTATTATTAAAACAAGCGATCATTCATATTTTTTTAACAAAATAAATAATATCACTGTCATTTAACGTTGATTGTCGGACTTATTTTACAGCTCAAGACTTCTTGTTTTTAATGAAAAATTCCGACTAAATGGGGCTCTCAATGGGGAAAACAGATTTTAATATTTACGTTAATATTATGGAAATTTCGTTTTAACTTGTTTTTTAGCATAAAATAAAAAGAAAATTTGTTTGTTTGTTGTGTAAGATTTAATTTTATTTCATCTCGTGAACTTTAAAAACAGTATTCTCACTCGTGGCTACGCCACTCGTGAGAATACTGTTTTTAAAGCCCACTCGATGAAATAAAATTTCATCTTACACACAAACAAACAAATATCTTCTATTTAAAACTTCATTAAATGCCGTTTTATTGTTAAAAACATTTCAACAACATTAAAATTTTGGCCGCCAGGCCGCTGGGCCGCCAACTTCACGCCGCCAGGCCGCCAGGACGCTGGGCCGCCAACTTCACACATCTAAGATAATGTACACTGCTATTCAAAACATCAATTTGAAGAGCCTATGCGGATGATCACGTGACCAAAATCATACAACGGGCTCATAAAATTGCGGCCTGGACGCTCGGTAAGAGCAGTAAAAGCAAAGTACCCAATAACAGAACAATATGTGGTTTTTATTCAGGGGTTCCGTGCGGTCAAATTTACATATAAATTTAACGTTAATTATATGCTTACCCGATAACAGAACAATATGTGGTTTTTATTCAGGGGTTCCTTGCGGTCTAGTTTACATATAAATTTAACGTTAATTATATGCTTACCCAATAACAGAACAGTATGTGGTTTTTATACAGGGCTTCCGTGCGGTCTAATTTACATATAAATTTAACGTTAACTATATGCTTACCCAATAACAGAACAATATGTGGTTTTATACAGGGGTTCCGTGCGGTCTAGTTTAAATATAAATTTAACGTTAATTATATGCTTACCCAATAACAGGGGTTCTGTGCGGTCTAATTTACATATAAATTTAACGTTAATTATATGCTTACCCAATAACAAAACAATATGTGGTTTTATACAGGGGTTCCGTGCGGTTTAATTTACATCTAAATTTAACGTTAATTATATGCTTACCCAATAACAGAACAGTATGTGGTTTTTATACTGGGGTTCCGTGCGGTCTAGTTTACATATAAATTTAACGTTAATTATATGCCTACCCAATAACAGAACAATATGTGGTTTTAATACAGGGGTTCCGTGCGGTCTAATTTACATATAAATTTAACGTTAATTATATGCTTACCCAATAACAGAACAGTATGTGGTTTTTATACAGGGCTTCCGTGCGGTCTAATTTACATATAAATTTAACGTTAACTATATGCTTACCCAATAACAGAACAATATGTGGTTTTATACAGGGGTTCCGTGCGGTCTAGTTTACATATAAATTTAACGTTAATTATATGCTTACCCAATAACAGAACAGTATGTGGTTTTTATTCAGGGGTTCCGTGCGGTCTAATTTACATATAAATTTAACGTTAATTATATGCGTACCCAATAACAGAACAGTATGTGGTTTTTATACAGGGGTTCCGTGCGGTCTAGTTTACATATAAATTTAACGTTAACTATATGTTTACCTGAACTTTTTACTGCTTTTATCGAGCGTCCAGGCCGCCATTTTATGAGCCCATTGTACGATATTGGTATATGTACCATTTATTTACTTATGATCTTAACCGATAATTAAGATAATTGCTGAGCAAGTACTATGCCACATTCACATACTAGCGTGCGTTGAATCATGCTCCTCCAAGACAATGCACTTGTCCATAGATATGCGGTGGTTTACCTCATTTCCCAAACAACCCTTATCATGATCCATGATTATTATTTGCTTTACCTATATAGAGAGGTTTTGCCGCTTCAGTTATTGTCTCGCCGCATGCAGTTGCTAAACACTTTAACGCAATGCATTTCCCGGGTGGATACTATGGAGGCTATATGTTGCCAAAAAATCAGTCTTTGAAACTTGACAATTCATACTTCTGTTCTACTAAACAGATAAGTACAAATGTAATTGATATTCAAAGAGTTACATACTGCATTGGTTGTGTCTTGATTTGACCAAAATGGAAGCTCGTAACATAAAACTTTTATAAATTGCACACTGTATTTAGAAATGTGTACCTTCAAATTTGCGACATGTTAAAATGTAAACGATATAACGTACACAACACGTTATATGCCGCACATCATGACTTAGAGAATGTTATGGGCGTGGAAATGGGCGGAGCTTATTTATCTCTTAGCTTAGATCCGAATTATGATTGTTTAACAATGTCAAGCTAAAAATACTTCTGTTTTGTCGGCGTTTACACGAACAATGAGTAATACGCATGTTATAAATGCTACTCTCAGAAACCAGTTAATGTTATGTCGTTTAACAAAATGTTTTTTTTTAGAAATACATGTTTACCATATTAAACATAACCAACGAATGCAACTTCGGAGTTTAAATACAAAGAAATACGATTGATTTTTAACAAACTGTTCAACTCAGATCAACAAGGCTGGACTTTTGGCAACGACTAGCCTCCATAGGATACAGCGTTTTTAAAAACGCACGTAGGTAAATGGGAACGTGTTGGGATAACCATAAACATAGAAGTATACTGCCTACAACTACATTGCCACGTGGATTAATACTTTTTACATGCCCCTCATATTACTTGGCATTAAACGTTCTTTGTGATTATTATATTAATGTGAAAGATCGTATTTGTACTGGGATGTATTTTCGGGTTTTAAGTGATTTTCAGATTCGAATTTATGCGGCCTTCCTCTGCCAAGAAAGATAGAGTGTTAATAATATCGACGTTAAGAATAATATCGGCGTAAAGTAAAACTGATTAACAATTTATCCACTCCTGAATGTAAAACAAATTGAATCTGTCAAAGTGATTCCATTTTTTGTTTTATTTCAGCTGGAATTATATCAATAAAAGAGGCACCGGATTATGAGAGGCCTTTTACAGACAACGTGACAATGAGTATTAGTATTAATGATGGGACACTTGCACAGCATAATACAGTTATTGGAACTATAACGTTTGTTGTCGAAAATGTTAATGAGGGCATCACCCTTAGCATTACAAACACAGCCCTTACTGCCGACGAGGTAATTATGTTCTTATACATATATAGATGGGTGAATATTTTGATTATGTTCCTTTCTATGTTAGAGTAGAACTCAAAAGTGAAAATGCCAAGTTAACTTTTTGCAAGCTTTTAATGATCATATATATCAGAATCTCATTTTTAAAAACTAGGCATGATGTGGAACAATAAATGTCACCACAATCTCCTTATCTTTAACTGCCCCAAAAATTGAAATTGTCAACACCGTAACGGAAATTGAAAATGAAAATTGTAACATTTTTATAATCTAAGATTATTACCCGGGAAAAAACTCAACCATCAATAAAAACAATGAAGATATTGTGTGATTTGTAGAACTGCATACATTTTTAGCTTATGTCGTCGAGAAAAATGCGTAAAGGTGTGCAATTACATTTTTTAGGAACAGAACAGGTTACAATTATTTTAGACTTACTGTGCACTTTATCAGTTATGTCAGTTATTAAAATGCATAAAGATACGGGAAAAGAATAGAATGTAATACATGTATATTTATAAGCATAAATCAATAATTATAGACGATAAATAAGGACCTTACAGTATTTTCGTATCGGAGTTGAAGATACTTGTAACGGTGTATTTCACAAATATATTCTGTAAAACAATTTTCTGTTAAAAACTTCAGACATTTGAAATTTGTCAGTTCGTTTATCATTAGTCAGCAGTTCGTACTGTGAATGTAAATCGCTATTCCTTGTATACTCAAACGAGCTACACATGGTTCACCTTGAACATAAAAAGTGACTTAAATTAAGTGTTTAACACATTTATTTAATAATTCTTAATGTAAAGAAACAAAAACTTGAACAAACAAAAAATGCGTAAATTTAGAAACAACAGGAAGAATTTAAATCCACACCAACACATATATTTAAAACTTTTCAAACAGTGAAAATCAATCTAACTGGAAAAACATACTTAACATTTAATTAATTTCAGCAAAATAAAAAAGTCTTTTCAAGATGCTTTATAAAATAACATTTCATTTTAGATAAATATTTGCCATGTTATAAATAATACAAAATTTAATAATTATATAGTTTTCTAAATAAAGAACTCAAATTCGTGATGATTGCTGTTCACAAATAGCAAAAAAGTAACATGTAGTCAAACGGAAAAAAATATTGAGCAGACACACTAATTGGCCACTATAACCGATTTCTTGACTTAGATTAGCAATGAATTTGTAATTTGTACCAATAAGTCAATGATGATTTTGCTTTATAATGATATTACCAAAAAAGGATATTTGCGTCATAAAGCATTATATGATGTAAACACCGTTACGACAATGTCAACGCCATTACCAAAATATTGTTTACGGTGTACTGTTGACAGTACAGTTTTACATTAAACCACACGCATAGATAGCTTAATACAATAATGGAAACTCAAAACTAGCAAAGAACATAATCACAATCATTTAAAATATGTTTTTTAACCTAACTTGATCCATCCACAAAGACAATGAACGAACGGTGCAGACAAATTAAAAACATAACTTTCAATGCAATTCTTTTTCTTTTTGGCCAGATCATTTACGTACATAAGGTAAAGGTCAAAGAGAATTTAAAAGGGGCTGCAAAAATAAAAATCTACAGGGTTTATCCTGTTCTTATTTTCTTACTGGAGACCGTAACGGTATGGACAATGAAAATAACGGACATATTTTAAACTAAAATATGTTAATATCTACTGGAATGTTGAACAGAATAAGTGATGTTTCATAATAAAGGTGATTATCATTTTAGGATCTGCAGTAAATTTTGATATAATATTACATATTATTTAGTGTTCTTAAGATACCTGCAAAATATAATGCTTAACCTCTGGCCAAAACACCGTTGCGCATATCAGGGATAGTCACACACGGAGGTGTTTGCTTGATCAGTAATAAAATCAAATACCCTTAAGGAATAAGTTAAGTGATGTAAATGAATAAAAACTATCATTTCATGACGAAAAAATTAATATTTAACATAAGTTATCGTTATAAAACTCTATGGACACAGAAAGGAACAGAATCAAATATTCATCCAGATATATCATGCTCAACATTGATAGTTTGAAATTTGATAAATGCTATTTAGTTTGTTTAATCAACATCTTTTGAGTATATGTTACGTTTTAAACCCAACACACCATGTGTAAACATCGTGAGAATTCAGTGTCACTGAAAATTTAAAGAACAAGATCAACAGAAAAGGGCGGCATAAAATGAAAACATTCAACACAACCCAGCAAACCCACATGTTTTTTTAAATAAAGGATAATACCAAGTTTACCAGTAACTTTACCAGTTATAGGGAATACAGCTTCCCAAACCCCAAACTTGATTTGTGTATTCTCAGTTAAATAAGACACATTTACTAATAGTAAGACTATTGTAGATTTCAGTAAGTTTTCCAAAAGTAGTTTACATGGGATAAAAGGATAAAGATAGTACATGTATATCTTGAAACCATTTTTAAATACAATTCATTATTTTATTTATTTCATAATACTATTATCATATGTGTAGTAAGCAAGTCTACAAGATAGATTTAGCCACGCCCTTAATATCAAATATCGGTATTGTTACTGTAAACATATTTACTTGATGTTTAGAAGTTTGTGAGTGTATACCTGGATGCTACACATATAATAAAATATATAAATCATCCTTCGGGTCTTATTTAGTTTATGTGCTAGTAAACCATCCAAATAGAAAGTATTTGTTACAATATGTATGAAATAGGTTGATACAAACCGTTGAGTTAAGTAAATATCCCATCTTGGTTATGTACACCTTATGTAGACATTATGCATCTTGTATCTCCCCCAGAGTCAGAGGTTATAAAGTCATTCTCTCAGCTCAAACTTAGATCTCAATTATTTGAGTAGTCAGAGTTGCTGTCACAGAAAGCTAACTGACCAATGAAAATCCTTGTATTTGTGTCAGACCTCAGACGGTTTTATAACCTCGAGCCAGGGTTAAAGGTTATATAGAAATTTTATCAATTCAAACTCAGATATCAGGTTTTTAATTGGTCAGAAATTGCGACAGAATATACACTCATCATTGGAAATCATGAGATTTGAGACATAACTCAAAATATATCCCTCAAGACCAGGGTCTAAGGTTATATTGAAATTTTATCTGTTCAAACTCAGATCTCTGTTTTTTTATATTTCAAAATTGCCACAGAGTGTTCATTGACCAAAACTCAGAAAAGTTTTATAACCTAGTTACATATCTTGAGTTTATTATAGACAAATACCAGAGGTACGGCGTTCACTCCGAACCCTGGAATATCCGCCACTGATATAGATGCTGGAGATAACATGTATTTTACAATGGATTGTGGAGACGATTCTAAATACTTTTACCTGGATACGGCAACAAATGAGGTAACTGTATAAATTTCTATATCTAATAAGCTATATTTATTCTAAGTTCATTTGGTAATCACGTATAAATGTAAATGCAAATTAGGTTTTAAAATGTGCACAGTTGTATCGGCTACATGGTGGTTTTCTTTGAATTGACATTTTATAATTATAATTATAATATTTTCATACGAGCATTTGATGTATGTTATTCACGATGTTCTGAAATTACGCATTCAGTTAAACGACTGAATTTGAAGGTCAACATCTGAACAGATAAGGATTTTTTTTGTTTATAAAATGATGATGGATGCTTGCATGCAAACTGTTTCTTTTTACTTTTGCTTTCATCAGAGTTTATAGATCTTTGCAATTATGAAAGCCCCGCCATATTTTAGATTTTATGTGAATATGATACAAATGTAATGAAGAACAGAATGTGCCTGAATTGTTATAAATTAAATGTGTTTTATACCCTATTTCTTTCGCCTTATTAGAAATAAATCATTTATCCATTTGTTTTAAACAACCGCAAAAAGTATCCACAGACACATATAGAATCAGTTATTCACAATCCATTTATTCTCAAGATGTTAACATCTCATACTTGAGCAAATGCACAAATAAATAAATACAACACATAACAATCATACATTTTATTATATGAATTGAAATACGTTACTTATTAAGCGACACCAGAAAATATAATGTGATTAATTACAAGTATTTCAGTCAATATATCTATATTTCTAGCTATTTAGTTAAACTGAATTTGGAAAAATAATCTCCTTTCTGAATTATAACTAAATCAACTAGTTAACTATATTGCAGACAAATTTTGACAAATTGAATTTAAAGAAAATTAATGGGCGAGAGAGTATCAAGTGTGTCAAATTAAACCTAATTTACTTTGAAACGGGACATCGAAAGATTACGAGCACACTTTAGCGATTGGCTTACTTTTACATTAACACAGAACGTGAACTTCGTACAAGAAAACATTGTGTACAAAATAATGATAAATACATCAGTTTGAAAATGTTATAATTGTTTTAGGTGAAGTTTGCTAGAGAATATGATATGGACTCCGGATTGTCCGGTACTGCGACTTGTAATGTAACTGTGCGTGATGAGGCGGGAATGTCGGACTCGGGTAATGATGTCACGTATTACATACCTTATCGTAGCCCATTTGTAGAAACAAAATCACTGTTTTATTTACTGAAAGCATATTTTATTCAAAATACATGAGCTATTGCTATAACAATCCAATTACTGTATTATGTATTGCAAGTTTGTAAAATTCAGTTTGTATCAATTTGTATCATCCTCTGCGACTACAGGAAGTAGGCTCGTAGATGTGATTCTACAAAGTACAGTGTTTGGGTGTTATATTATTTAAATACTCACACAATTCCATGTTATTGATGACTAATTTCAAAACTAAGTTCATAGGATTTCTATATGGATGTATACCTATGATAGTTTTAATTTGCCAGCCATTTAGGTATATGATGTTTTTGTATTTAAGCACAACTTTGATTTTCTTAAGATTTCTAACTTTTAAAAGTGTATACATAGATTCATGAAGAGTTAACATAAATAATATGTTTATGTAAAGATAAAGAAGAACAATGTGTTTATGTATTGAATGAGCAAACGAGAATAACCCTGCATGTGTTAAATCAATATTTCAAGTGACCATTTCTTAATCTTTTTTTGTCAAGGGCTCATTACATTGACAATTAACAATGTCAATGACCATGTTCCGAAGTTTCCACACCATATATACGTTTTCTTCGTATCTACAACAACGCCTTTTTTCACGGAAATTGCCGACATGGCAGCAACTGACTTGGATAGCGACGCGTTCGGATCCACAAACGGGGTTCTAACATACAGTTTCAGTCCTGCAAGCCCTACGGGCGACTATTTTCAGGTATGTTAATTATTAAAACAATTAAAACAAAATTATCAATCACAATGGGTAGATTGACGGGCAATTACATTAAAAGTGGCACAAGAAATAATTCTATCTGTTGCTTTTTTTCTCAGTTTGAACAAGAAGAATACTTTTTTCAGCTATTGCAAATTTATGAAAATATTTCATTCTGTCTTAAATGAAGAAAGTTTGTTGTATCATAAGTTCGTCATAAAGATTTTTGACAGTTGATATGAACGTTTATAGGGTCAAATAACGATCATAAATCTGAAAAAGAAACAGCAGTAAAACATGGCCAAATTGCCATATAGCATGTTAAAATATTGTACATATTGTATTGTGTTTTAACGTAAAGATAATATATATAAAAAAGTTGTATCATGATGCCAATGATTTCATATTTCAGATGAATGCAGCAGGTGTGTTATTTGTGCGGGATGTTACTTCTTACACAGGCAATACGTACGTTTTTGAAATAATAGCTGCTGACAGTGGAGGGTTGCAAGGGACGTGTACAGTTACAATTATATTCAGTCCGGTATGGCAAACATTTGCTTTGCGTTTACTTTATTTAATGTATTATTTAAATGTTAAAACGTCTCTTTTGATAGAAGACAGCTATGGCATCCTTGACTGTTTCGAAGACATTTTGGGTGGTCTGTCTGCTGTGGTCGTAATCATACTTCGAAGTAAAAAACATTACCGGTGAATCTATTACAATGACTGTGGGTAGATTGTTATTAGAACCTACAGGTTTCTTATATGAAACATTTTTATATTATTTAGATTATTCATTTTTTATTACAGACCACACAAGCTACATGTTATACAAATGATTTTATGTCCGTTAGAAAAAATGTAGTGCCTATGCTAGTTGTCGTCTAAATGAAATAAACAAGATTTGAAATAAAAGCTTCACGGTCGGTTCTATGAAACAATGCTGGTATTTACAGAAAAATATCTTTATACAAATATTATACTTGCCTCTTTCTATCAGCAAGTGCTCTAAACGTTTTATTCTAAGATAATGATTTGTTTAAATTGAAAATTTGATTGATTTTTTAAAACTGAAGACAAAATACTACAATTTGTTTTACATTTTTCTACTTTTATTACAAATAACATCACAAAAGCGCTATAAAATTCATGTTTGACTTTTCTTAAGAAGTAAAGATTTATTTATTTCTGAGGAATAATCTGCCTTCAAAATGTTATGCCCATTAAAATATCAACAAAATGTCTGCTAATCATGTTAACATAATTTCAGAAAGAATAGTAAACATATATGAGCCACGTCGCAACAAAACCAACATTGTGCGTTTGCGACCAGCATGGATCCAGACCAGCCTGTGCATCCGCGCAGTCTGATCAGGATCCATGCTATTTGCTTACCAACCCTTTTACAAGTAGAGAAACTGATAGCAAACAGCATGGATCCTGATCAGACTGCGCGGATGCGCAGGCTGGTCTGGATCCATGCTGGTCGCAAACCCATTATGTTGGTTTTGTCATGATGTGTAATGTTATATTTTAAATCAAAGTTTTTGATTATTGTATTACTTGAAGGTGATCACCACTACAACATCGACTACCGAAAGAACGCTGAAGTTTGAAGATGACTACCAAAATTACATATGGTTGTTTTTGTTAGGGTGTGGAATATTTGCTTGTATTGTCGTTATATTGATCATTGTGTGGAAGGATCCAGTCGTCAATGAATATATGAATTATAAGATGTACAAGTATGTTACATTTTTGATATTTAAATAATTATAAAATGATTTACAAAATCAGTTCCAATGAAATTATCTAAAACCGTCAGACTTTAAAGTAAGGATAACGTCAAGGGTTATGATTTAGTATTTGTTGTAAGGAAAGGGTTCTTTTCAATTGTAATATTCATTTAATATGAATTGCTACCATTTAAGATACAGTATTACGTAAATACTTAAGTTGCAAAAACAATGATGAAATCTTGGACATTGTTCCTGAACATATCTCATTTTGAATAGGACGATACAAAAACAATATGTGTTGAGATACATTTCCTTTAACGTCTCAAAAATTAGGTACTTTCTTAAAAAAGGCATTTTTTAATGACATTATGTATTTATGATACGTTTAGATAGTTTTAGTGTGTGACTGTGTTGAGTTTACAATATTCACTGTATGCAATCAAATAATGTTATTTTACATTTTATTTTACATTTTACATGTAAGAAAGACTGTATAAAAATTTTCAGACAATTTTCAAATATTAAATTTGAGCATAACATGTCTTCATACAATGTTTAGTTGTTTAACATAATGTGGTATCATATCCATGCAATTACATGTTGCATTGTTGTCACCAAAACGTCATACAAAATATCGCTTTGTAACTGTATAAATAGTTATTGTCACTTCTCTACTAATGTATTAAGATTGTACGAAAATACGTTAATGGTTGTTTAAGTGCACTCTTATGCAATTTGTATTTTAGAAATAAATAATCAAATAAATAATTAATAAATAAATAAATAAATAAAAGCTCAAGATATGTTAATGTAAATAAGCAAATTATATCATAGGTTATGCGAGTGGTGTAGAAAGAAACCTAAGCCGAAGAAGCCAAGACGCCATGTTGAGAAACTCCGGGTCATGATTAACAAGAAGGACCTTGAAAATGATCCTGACAACGCTTTGCCATGGGAACTCCTTGCTAAAGACAACGACGAACCGAAAGTGAACGAAGTTCAAGAAATGATCAAGCATCGGTCTGAAAAACGAGATCGTGACTATAAGAATTTTGCGGGTCTTCCGGTGTTTGAGAGAGGAAAAGGGAGCCGGCCCGAATCCGGACGAGCTACAGTTCACTCTTCAGCGAGTAGCGCTGGTAGACCGGTGTGTATACTCCAACCTTCTAGATAATGTTTTTGTTCGGAAACTGCACAAAAGTATTGATAGGATTTAAAAAAGATAAGACTTAATCAATCAAATTTTGATCTCAATAGAACGAATCCCTTTTTTTGCCTCTAAATACAATTCAACTTAAGAATCTAAAAATTCGTATATAATTTCTAAAGAATACAACAATTTTGTGAAAGATATAGTGACTTTAGTATATGATATAAGATGAATTGGGTAATGACATCATCATGTTGTTTTTGTTTTATTTCAGGACAGTGAATCGCCTAAGTATGCAACATTTATGTCCTCTACTGGCCAGGAGGTAAGTTAGCATGCTAAATGACAGTCAGTATAATTGTGTACTGTTTCAAACAAGTTATCATTTGTATTCATACATTGAGATGTTATCTGAAATTATTCTTCGACTTATTTATTTCTAATTCCAAATCGTGGCTTCCTGTTGTATTTTAGATATTTCAAATTGAAAGATCTTTAAGAAATATAGGAATGATGTTTTGAACTGGAATAGATAAATATTTTGATACTTTATACTTAAATATAATAAAAAAATGTTTATTTTAAAACAGTATATATTCAAAGTCAGAGAGGTATTTGTATGGTACACATATAGCTTTAGATTAGTTCCAATGAGAACAGAGTGATCAATTTTATTAACCTTAAGCATATAACTGGCCAACATACGGGTAAGTAACTAAACGGCACTTTTTTGTCAAAACTCTTAACATACTCTAATCATTCTATGAGCTGTGTCAAACTGCCCACTCATTTTTTTTCTTATTAGGAAGAAGACGGTGGTGAAGGTCAATGGGGTGATCTTACCGAGAGACGTGTTATTATAACACCTGTTGCACCAGTTCCGGAAGACAATGGCAACGACAGGAATAAAGGCGAAGCGGAGGATCTTATTCGGGATTCTTCACAGGATTGGTGAAATGGTGGTTTTCAAGGACTTTCAAAAATTCTGTGAAAATATTTTTACCGAAAACCAATGAATAGTTCTTAAACTTATATTTTTTTCACTTATAATAGTTGAATATAGTCAAACCCTCAATCATTTTTATCATAGACCGTTAGTAACGAATATGTTTTTATATAATCGTTATTACACAAATAAGATTATAAAATTAAACCAGTTTTTTTCTATCTGTAGGTGGGGTTTATTGATATTTTGCTTATACAATGTAATTAAAAATAATTTCAGGCAAATGTTTACAGTTAATTGAGTGTTGATTTATCTGCTGCATAGTTACATCTTTACAATATTGAAAGGAACATAGTTTTGCCACAACCATTTACTTCCACAGATTCATAAAAATGGATTAAGTGTGCAGCTTGATTCCAACATACTGAAGCACCTTAAAATGCAGAAATCGGAATCCTTAAAGAATGCCAAAAAAACGACATAATTGATAATGTTGCAGACTCGGTTTGATTGAGCTTATTCATAGACGGTACCGAAAAGTGCAAGTTAAAATCATAGAAATAATCCGAACCTATAAGAGTATGATATAATTTTATGAATGTCTATTTTTATTTTATTTTTCTTATTTTTGTTTATTCATTTATTGTTGTTTTGTTATTTTTTTGAAATTTTTCATTAGATTAAACATATCCTTTCATAATTATTGACTCTGTTTGTTTTTTATTCATCAAACAAAAAATTCAAAATCTTTATTTTTCTCTTTGCATCGTACATGATATAATGATGAGGTATATTAACAGTGAATATTTGTAACAAAAAGAGCAGTACGTACATAGCAAACCATTTACAAAGAACACTCAATATATAACCAACTATTGTTTGCTGTTGTTGTTGTTGTTAACATTCATAACCTTGATGCATAGATCCCTAATCTGTCTAATTCTAATTATCCGATTAGTGGATTTAAGTACGAATTTCACAACATTTTTTTTAACGAAGAAGCACATGTCGATGTATGTTGTTAAATCTTGTATTACAATAAAAGGCCAGAGTTTGGACACGTACAAACTGTTGTTGTGAAATTCTTATTGTATCCACTAATCTGATAATTAGAACTAGACATGTCAGGGAACTATGCATTGGAAACATCTTTTGCTCATTCCAATTCAAGTGTGCTCATATTGTTTTGATATCTGCTTTCTGATTGACAAGACAATAGAAAAGTACTTTTTGCAATTTTATTTTGATGTTCAATATACACTTAAATACACACGAATAATAATCAACACCTCGTACATGTTGTTCGATTGTTAAATTGTCAAATGAGTACAAAATTAAAAGAAATAAAACATGAAATCTTTAAACACTGCAACAAATGATGGTATTACATGTCACGAAATCTTACGATTATTTCATCACATCCCTTATCACAGAATTTAATCTTAAATGTTTGCTTGTCTTGTTGGATTTACGTGGCACGGACAATGTAAAGCTCATATGGCGACTTTTCAACTTTATTGGTGGCACAAGACCTCAGGTGACTCTCCGTGCATTATTTCAGGTACGAATGGTGTAAAATCTTGAACAAACCAGTCAATGATATTACACATTTCTATTCCATGGACTCCACATACTTCCGGACAAAGCTCGGCCGTCATATGTTCAACCAGTTTTGTGTGAAAGGCTGTTTAGTTTTACTTAAAAAGATGTTGTTGCATCGCTCGCTTGCATGCATACATGCTTTCTTCACCTATCCCAGGGTATATAAGCGTTTCATTTAAAATGTATTATTTATCTCAAGACAAAAATCGTTCATTGAAAAGCAATTCTTATTGTTCATTACTAGCACATGTATTTAAATTTAAGAATTAAGCGCACATTTACGTGGCTGTCTGATTTTTAATTGGCCTATTTAATGTATGCCAGCGGCTTACGAAATTTTGGTATTGTAGCGAGTTATTGACGTTCTCAAGTAAATCTTTAGTTTTTCGGTGTTGCTAACATAAGCCATTTATTATTACTTACGTCTGTAATAAAAAGATTTTTACTCACAACACTTTACTGGTGCAGGAAGCTGAAGTCACATATAGTTTATGCGTTGAACTGATCATGGATTTCATTGAAACCAAACTGAGTATGTTATCCCATATTTATCGAAAAAAGTTTTTATAAATGTTAGGATAGATGTGTATTTCAGTGCAAAAACACATGCAACATCAAATATAAATAAATAATTTTAGAATTGTCCAAAGGCACAATGAAAAATTAAAATTTAACAAAACTGCATGTAAAAAAGAATCATGTCACAACAGCATGTAAATATAGATTTTTATAAAACCAACATGTCAATATAGATCTATGCAAGAGCAACATGTAAAATATAGATTTATATCTATACATGTATATAAAAAGCATATAAATACAGATTTTGAAAACAACATCATGTAAATATAGATATTTTATAAAACCAACATGTCAATATAAATATATATGCAACAGCAATATGTAGATTTATATATAAAAAAACATGTAAATATGGTTTTTTAGAACAACAGCATGTAAATATAGACAGATATTCAAATTGACAAAAAGATTTACATAAAACCAGCATGTCAATCCTGATCTATGCAACATGACTTAAATTTTGAAAACAACATAAACAAAAATAGATATTTTAAAATAACATAATGTATATGTAGATTTTCAAAACAACACCATGTGTATAAAGATTTTCAAAACAACAGCATGTAAATACTGATTTTCAAAACAACTGAATGAGAAAGTAGATTTATACAAGATAATTTTGTAATTTTGCAAAAACAGCATGTAAATGTATATCAATGAAACAGCAACATGTAAATACAGAAACGAACAACAATACCATGTAAATATAGATTTATACATCAGCAGCATAAACTTGCATCTATAACCATGACAGTATAACAATCAACTACAGGTAATGAAAATATACCTCATACTTGTATGATGACGGAATCAAAAGTAGGTATGATATATTTGTTGTTACAGGGTTGTGTATTTGAAATTTGCCTAACTCGTGCGAAAGGTACGTTTTTGTTTAACATTAGGTTGACTTACGTCCGTTCTCTCCGTAAAATGCAAACTTATTTGATGATGTTGTTTATGTTTGATAAAACATTATATATAACCAAGATAAACTATGCTTGATTTGTTACTAACAACTGATATTATCCATAACACACGTGTTGACACACATCAAAACTTTTATGAACATTTATTTATACACTACATATTTATGTATTTCTTTGAAGATTCTTTGAAACGCAATAAAAAAGTAAAAATATAAGAATCAAATGTGGCAATGTAAATTAATACTAGAAGAATACAATGAAAAAGTGTATATTTTTGTGTCACTAAGTTGGCAATTAAGGAAGCAGTTCTTAAGTGTTTCATAAGTTACCTCCCATTACCTTCCATTTTAGATTAAATGCAAAAGGAAAGAAACAAAAGGCCAATATCCGCTAATCTCCATATACATTTAAGCTACCTACTATTCATTATGTTACTGTTTATGATTTAAATTAACCACGGTAAAAAACATAACTATAATAGGTTAAATATCAATAACCTGAATGATGGTATAAACAAATTCAATGTTGTGTTATGGTGTTGTTTTTATATACAAAAAATGATACGGTACTAGAAATAGGACATGTTACGTTTAACCATAAAATTCGAACAATAACAAAGCAACAACAAAAACAAAACAGCAAAAAAAATATAAATAGATAATAAATAAATAATAACAATATCATAATTAAGGAGAATCACACGAGCATATTATGCAATAAAATTATGCACATAAAACACGAGATCTAGCGACAGTGAAAAGAAATTACACAATAATTGAACAATATAAATATAATATGACATCTCGATAAAGAAGGAACCATCGAACAATTGCAATATAAAGCAATGCCTTCTCAAACATTTCAAAGCAAATAATTAGCTGTGCAAAAAATAGATTTCAAGTGAGCATACAGAATCGTTCTTTCTCAGCATACTATAGTTTAATTGATACAGCAATATATTAATACAATGGTAAATGAAAACATGCAATTTTCTTTTTGAAATCATCGTTGAGAAAAATGCGAGTTACGTTTGTGTTCATTTGTTAAAAATCTAACATCTCGTTCTAATATTGGTTTTAAAATAAATACAATAAGAATCGCTGAAAAGTAAATAGTTTTAAACACAATTGAACAACATCTCATGAAAGACCTTGTCAGTAGTTACATAATGCATAAAATATGTTGTGTTTTCATATGCATGTATTGGTAATGAGCTAGCGTTTTTGGACTGGTTTTTAAAATCTTTTTACACAAAGTTTTACTGATTTTTTTTAAAATAGATAATCTATTTAATCATTGCAATAATGTAGTAGGCAAAAAATCTCATCAAACACAAACATGAGGTAAAACCTATTTTAACGATGCATTTGATTAATTGAAAAATCATCCACATGCTGGTTAGTATGCGAGGTTTGCAAATAGAAAAACATAAAACAGGTAATTTGTGGTAGAATATTTAGTCAAATAAGCACCATGACGGCCCCATTACGTATATAAGCTGTATGACAATTTTGGAAAAATTCCAATTAAAAATAGATAAGTATTCTCCCTTATGCAAAACTACATCTTGTTCATACTGAATTGATAACATTCGTTTATTTGAGTTTTTCATCAATCTTCAATTTCATTTTATTTTCTTATCTAATTTATGTCGCAAATCATTCCCTGCAATGTCTTTTGGCCTTTTATGAACAACACCTTCGGTCCTGTCCGATTCTTGTTCTTGATTTCTGTCATATATATTTCTTCGAAGTAGATGTCTCAAATCCCCGTTTTGAATTGGAAAATGATTTTTCATTCTCTTGACGGCGGGGCCATTGTTATCTTGATCCTCTTCACTATTGTTATCAAATGTTTCATGGTTGCCATAATACACAATAGCTTTGGACTCTGATGAGGCACCACTTGATACAAATAACTCCTTTCCACGATGTAATTTAACATTACCCTGTCGCCGTCTTTCAAGGTTTTGTGAACGGTTTAGCCTTACATGTTTACGTGTTGCCTTCGATGTCATGACTATGGACTCTCTTTTTATTTTAATGTATCTTTTATCGGTATCGTCAGGAATAGAAATGTTATTTGTGTGTGTTTTAATGTACAGTACTTCTGAATCGTTATTCTTTTCATGTGTTGTGACTATGTTCCTGCTTCCATTATTTAGTTTTACTGTCGATTCCATACAATCTTTTTGAACCTTAGAAAGCTGTACATATTTTCTGTTCTCGCCTGCATAATCTTAAATAGATCATTAACAAAAAAATTAAGTTAAAGTTCATGCAATTCTTTTAATCCACAAGTACAATAAGCATACAAATACGTTTAGGTTAATTCTTTTCGTATTTTCATAAAAGTTTTAAAATAGAAAAGAAATAATAAATACACAAGTAAAAGAAAAATAGAAAAATACCTGATTTCAATCTCTTTTTCTTTGGTCTTTCCATATCAAGATCTGATGCCGGTCTTTTTCTGGAATAACCTTTTCAATAGAAAGTTTTGATGAACAAAAGTAATCCAAAATGGTGGGCGTTTTGATACATTGCCATTTAAATGGCAATCATTTATTCATGCTATTGTTTTCTTGAAATTATTGATTAAATAATGAAACGAAAAAAAATCAAACGATCCGATCCTTCAATATGTCTTATTCATCTCTGAATATTTATATAAAAAATATTTATAAATCGTCTGTGTACATCTTATAAAATTCATTATTCAGTGTCATAGCTTAAGAGAATGTTGACTTTTATCATTATAACTAAACGTTACCTTTTCTGTCTTTCTTTTGACGTTCCGGTCCGTTTCGATTAATTGTATAGCTTTGGTGGCTACACTTTGTGCATTTGTGGTCTCTTCTGTTTGGATGGCAACTGTTACTACAGAAATGTCCACAGTCTAAACGTCGAGTACATGGTCTGTTACATCCTCTCCAAAAGCGAGTTTTAAAATCTCCAGCCGACATTGCCATAACGCCTTTGTCGTCTAAATGGTATTGGCAACATAACTGTAATGATTTACCAAGTTTTCTTTTTTGTTTCATTTCTAATAGAACATTTTTCCAAAGCTCTGATTTTGCTGACAAGCAAGTGCTATTTCCTATTATATACAACCCAATTCTGCTCCTAGAAAGAGCTACACACACCCGGTTATGGTCTTTTACAAAACCAATGTTCCCATTTTTGTTGCTCCGAACTAACGATAATAAGATTATGTCATTTTCTTCTCCTTGGAAATTATCAACCGAAGTCATGTGAACATCTTGACAGCCATCATTTAATTTGTTTGCTTCTGTTTTCATCAAGTGCAGCTGACTTTTGTACATTGTGAGAATTGTTATTCTTGAAGCTTTATAACCTTGGAGAAGCAGGTACTTGCATAGAGCTAGAATATAATCAATTTCATGACGATTGACGTAGTCACCCGAATTGGTTTCAGTCTCTTCGTAGATACAGTGATCCACGAAGAAACTGTTAGAAACAACACCAATCACGGATTCGTATTTTTTCACGCTGTCATGATCGTGAAGGTTTTCATAAAAGCGTCTGACATTATCTGCTATCTCAGGCCTCATCCTGTGCTGGGTTTTCAAACACCGATACCTTAAACCGTTGTTGATCAACCTTTCAAATAGCGAAACGTTCATATCTTTTTCTTCTAAGCGATACTCGTTTGGTATAGGCTTTAGTTGTTTGTGATCCCCTATCATTATTAGCTGCTCACAACCTGAAGTTAGATTTGATATAAGGTTGGATTCAAAAACGTGTGCAGCTTCTTCAACAATAGTTATGACTGGTTTAATTTCATCAAGAGCAATCTTGTGCAACGCTGCGCCATTAATCGTCATACCGATAATATCTGCATTTTTCAAAATGAATATATCTTTCATTCTTTGAACATCCTTCTTTCTCAAACATGCCTGTTCATAACATTTAAGATTACTCGCATTTACTTCATATATTGAGCTACATTTCTTTTGAACCCAATATTGATAAAGTGCCCATTTTTCTTCTCCTGTGATATCTGCAATGTTATCTACAGATTCAGCTTCTATGTATGACATGGGTTTTACATTTTCTTGTTTCCATTTTTGTAATCTGAAAGTCTTCTTAATTATTTCCTTCTTATCAATCTTTGTATATACTCCCTTACTCGTTTCACCCAAGTCCAGTGAAGCGTTTTTATATTTAAAGTCATGAAACTCAGGTATCTCATACGGTGTGTGTTTCTCTTGTGCATTTTTGACTTTTATGTGAACATTCCCGTCACTACTATCACAGAGATTACAATGTTTGTGTATACTTTGAACTGTATCTAGTATACCTAGCCATTTTATCATACCTGAACTTTTATTGAATGCAAATCGTTCAGGTAAGGTTTCATTGTAACCTAACTCTTTAATATGATCGTAATGGTCAAGTTTCATCACATCTTTAAGAAAAAATTCACTTACAATGTTTTCCTTTAGGTGTGTTATATTTACTAATTCTTTGTTAAGTTTCAGGCGCATTTCACTGACTTCATTGCTTGCATGATGATATAACTTTTGCATAATCTCGGGGAATTTCTTCTCTTTCTCATATTCGCTTCTGATTATTTTGATATTGTATCCGGCCACAGCATCGTTAGTACTTCTTCCGCCAACTCTTACCATGCTTCCAGAGTGAAAAGGACATATTGCTTCAAGAAATTGATCGAGAGCATGGTTTGCAGAACAAACCACCAACATTTGAGAGTGTTCTCTACCATCACGCCGCCATGCCGTTTTGTTACAAAGCAAGACTTTAGCAATTTCTAATCCTATAAAAGTCTTTCCACAGCCAGGTGGTCCTTGAATGATTGAGATCTCATTTGACAGTGCATATTTAAGAGCTTGCAGTTGTGATGAATCAAGTTTAAACTCGTTCTCAAACGGCCAAACCTCTTCAAGAATATCTACCGACTTTAAATGATCTTTTATCGTCGATGATGAACTTATGCCAGATAAACAACTCAGATCAAAAAAATATTTCCTGCGTTTTAGATATTTTGGAGGAAAAATATCTTTTTCACATTGCACTAAATATCTTTGGAAAGGCAGATCAATTTCATGTGTTATTTGAAGGCTCTGTAGGACTGGCCGATATGCTACAAAATACGCTGACGGTTCTATCATCAACAATTTTGACCAAATCAACGTTTGTATTTTATCATCATTATTGTTCAAAAATTGGACTACTACGTATTCAGGTTCATTGTGTTTAATGACCTCTGCTACGTAAAACGTCTGAAAATGATCTCCTGATAAACAGACAAGAGATCCAAATTTCAGTCGGTCTGCATTTCTTCCTTGCAAGTACAATGTGTAATTTGTTCCAGCATCCCCACAAACGGGTGAATGTATTTCTGCTTTCTCGTATACATATTCGTTTGTGTATTCGATATACTTTACTTCTCTTAGGCACTTAATAGATTCTCTCAAAGATGCATTAAAGTCTTCATGTAGCAGCCAAAATTGTACTTCAAGATATTCATCTGTACTTGAATATGCACCCTTGATTTGATTTGGTTTCAGAGGAGCTCTAGACTCATTGTTTACATCAACAATGCTTGGAAATATTTCAGCACTTCTGAAACTTCTTTCTTTATTTGACAACTCTTGTTCATTCAGTGTGTACTTCTTAATCTCAATATGAAAGCGTGACAAGAGTTTTTGTTCCACAGAACTCTCAAATGTACTCATGAATCTTGATAAGACATTGAAACTTTCAGTTATGAATAGTTTTTCGTTTTGTTTTAGTCTGCTTGCTCTTTTCAATAAGCGTATTAATTCAAACATGACATCAAGGGCAAAAGAGGTATTTCCTTTGTTTAAGCATGATTGGACCATTTTCATTGTGTGATTGAATAATCTTCCTTTTTTCATCACGTTTAAAATGTTTGAAGTGCATGCAGGTGTTGACTTGCATTGTAGAGAGTCGGATAAAGTTTTCAGGAACCTTATGTGTTGTTTTTCTGTGTAACGATTTCTTTTAGCCTTTGTAAATAGTTCATTTAATGTTTCTTCACGTAATCCTAGTATTATTGACCACAAGGATGGATCTGTATCTAAAGACAGTGTTTTGATGTCGTCAATGGTAAGTCGATATCTACAATATAATTCAGATTTAACAGGCATGTAGAAAGTGCATATGAATTTTAAATACTCGTACATAAAGTTTAAGTTTTGGTTTGCTTAAAATCTAATAATTGTTTTATGACTGGTTTCATTGAATCTTTTTAATCCACATTCCAGTTAAAGATTTCATTGAAATTTAAATAAGTTCATATTTCGTTTCTGGATATAAAATGCACAACTTCTTATTTTATCCTCATGAGTGTGGACGATCCAAGTGTGACCAATAGCAGTAGAGGTACTTGCTGCTCTTAAATATTGAAAATACCTGTCAATCAATGAAATAAATTCATTTGATACATCACTTCATTGAGCTTGTGAATTATAGACATTCACACAGGGTGCATGGAGATAAATTGTCTAAGATTTTGTTACTATTGTGGAAAAAAATATAAATCGGGAAGAGAGGTGATCTATAAGTTTAAGAGTATATATGCTAGAAAGCAAACTAAGCGAATCTGTGGCTGGACCGGTATTAACTCAATGTATTGGCGGAATGGCTAAGTGGTTAACATGTAAGACTAGTAGTATAACGGTTGCTTCCCGCGTGGATTCAAGCCCCATCAAGGGCAAGCCGTTGTGTTCTCTTGAACAAGACACTGAATGTTTGCTTAGTTCTGGTTTGCTCCAGGAACTGATTAAAGTGAGTTTCAATAACGATTATCGATTCCAACACAATCGCACGAATATAACTTATGTATAAACTAACCGGTTGACCATTAAGCTTAGTATAAAAAAATGATAATTAAAAGACTCCAGCACAATCTTTTTCTAAAATGCTCCCTTAAACAATCATTTAATATCAATGCTATTTAGGCTTGAACAAAATACATTAAGAATAGTTTTAGTTTACAATTTCTGACAAGCGTATTTTATTTTGTCCTTTGTTAGTCTGTCAAAAGTCTTTCATTTTTCAATTTTTTGATGTTTTTAATGCTTCCGAGGGATTGACCACTTCTCTTGAGTCGTTTTATTCTATGCAACAAATGATGTGAATGACAAGATTACTAAAACTAAAAATGGCTATGGGACTAAGGTGAATTATACCATTGAGGTGTGACCCATTGTAGAGACATGTTCAACTTTGTAGCGAATGGCTTAATTAGACTGTTAATAATCTACCAGTGACATATACAGGCCCTCAAAGCTTACATGATCTTAACGTGTTTTGATGACAAATGATCAGAATCAGGTCAGCAGTATAGTTATGATATAAATGAAATCAATTTACAATAATATTATTATGTTAATACATAACTTAGTGAGTTACTTACTGAGGAGGCTCCCTTTCCAAACGTGGATATTTGTCAAATCTGCCCATTTTGTAGTTTTTGTCAGAACCATAGTATTCCTAGTAACCCATTACATCACAACACATACCATCATACTTTGATACGACAATCTTCTCTATTAAAAAAAACATGTTTCAACTTTTCTCCTATCTCCCATCATTTTCCTGGTTATATAAAAAAATACTTTTTTTCTTAAATCAAATTAAACTAAACTTTTAAGAAAGGACATTTACGAAATTAAATAACAAGTCGGTCTAGATTATAATCAGTGCCATATATCTAGAGGTAAAGGAATCAACAGGTAGACGTTTTTACAAATACTTAAATTCTTATTAAGCTATTATCTGTATGAGAGATTTATGAAACTGATACGAGAAATTTTTCGGAAGTAAACGATATAGATCTAGATACGAACGAAATCAATTTTTTCAAATGACACGGCAGCCTCATTTAGCCAACAAGTTTGACTTTTCTGAAAAGTTAATGCACCTTACTGATTTTATACTAAATAATATCTAATATCTAGTTCTATCTGTCATACTTATTTTTGGATAGGACTTGTTTTTTTTCCATTATGCATGTAATTATCATAATCCTCTATAGTTAATAAGAATATAAATAGTTTACGTAACTTCTGCTCTTTCATAGCAATTGTCATAAATTACCTAAACCTCAGAAATAACAATTTTGAATATCAGGTGTTCAGACAAAACTATTTCACCATGTCCCACTGCTTGAATAAAAACTTAACTTCTATATAGTTACTGTATATATAAATGAAATACACACATTTTTGTTATCCTTATTGTAACAATTTGTAATATCCGATGTATCTATATTTATAAAAATTAAAAACTTTAATGTATAGCAAAGTTTGATATAGACTATTTACACGAATACATGTATATAATACCAAAAATGTATTAAAATCAAGATAAGATTAACACATATCTATCGCGATGTACTTACTCTATACGTTTTGATCATTTGATTTTTTAAAACAGTTTAACAAAGGAATATTTCAAAATGTAAAGTCATGTAAAAATGACCTCTGTAGGCGTTTTTATTTTAAAAGAACCTGACACTCATTTTCGGAAAACCTCTTTAAATAAAGTAGTCTACGTAATGGCTATTCAGAGAGATTTTTTTTGTTCCAAATAATTTAGGTTGCACAATTGGGGTTTAGAAATAGAATATGAATACATATATTAAGAATGTTACGGCATTGTCATAAATTAATGCATTGAAACAATCATGGGAGAATCTCAGCATGATTTCTTTACAATTTTTGTGATTATAAACAGACTTTTTATTTTTTTCTTTTATATGTTTACAACTTATATACCTGTTTTCGAAAACAATACTTTGTGGATTACAATTCAGGTAAAATTAAGGAGTGTTGTTTTTTTGTTTACGAGTATATATATAACTTCGATCTGGCCTTAGTATCATCATGACAGAATCATGAACAATACATGAATATGATTTAAGTTTTGAAGAGCAAATATAAATAAACAGTATAAACTATTGTTAAAATCTGTTTATGTTTCTTTCCATGTAAACTATTTAAGGAGCTCCACTGCGGTCCAAAAGCCGAAAATCATTAAACTTGAATTTCTTTCATATATCAACTAGGGAACTTAAAACTGTTACAATAAAATATACAAAAGATACACACTACAAATAAATTGACAATCGTATGTGCGTGTTGTTCTTATTTCAATTTAAGTGAAAAGTGTTACAACGCGGTTCTGTGTCTTTCATCACAATAAAAATAATATTTCTGGAAAAACACAGAGAACGAATGATGTAAAATTGTGCACACAATTTATTGGTATAGACATACACCAAATGGAACATTAATCTCGAAAAGTTATTTCTAGCCCAGACATGTCAAGAAACCTTAGCAATGACCCTTTACCACCTCCCATAATTAAAAGCATTTCCCCTCACATTGACACAATCATGGGAGAATCTCAGCATGATTTCTTTACAATTTTTGTGATTATAAACAGACTTTTTTTTTCTTTTATATGTTTACAACTTATATACCTGTTTTCGAAAAAAATACTTTGTGGATTACAATTCAGGTAAAATTAAGGAGTGTTGTTTTTTTGTTTACGAGTATATATATAACTTCGATCTGGCCTTAGTATCATCATGACAGAATCATGAACAATACATGAATATGATTTAAGTTTTGAAGAGCAACATATAAATAAACAGTATAAACTTTTGTTAAAATCTGTTTATGTTTCTTTCCATGTAAACTATTTAAGGAGCTCCACTGCGGTCCAAAAGCCGAAAATCATTAAACTTGAATTTCTTTCATATATCAACTAGGGAACTTAAAACTGTTACAATAAAATATACAAAAGATACACACTTATTCTAGAAATAAATTAAAAATCGTACGTTTTTCAATTTGAATGAAAAGCGTTATAACAACGCGGTTCTGTGTCTTTCATCACATTAAAAATAATTGTTCTGGAAAAACACAGAGAACGAATGATGTAAAATTTTGCACACAATTTATTGGTATAGACATACACCAAATGGAACATTAATCTCGAAAAGTTATTTCTAGCCTAGTCATGTCAAGAATTCTTAGCAATGACCCTTTACCACCTCCCATAATTAAAAGCATTTCCCCTCACATTAGAACAAAACATGCCATTTTCGACACTGCTATAGTATCTGATAACAATCAGTCACTACCAATAGATTATTACGTTTCTTGAAAACTAATTATTTGAAGAAAAAGAGTTACATAAGCGACCCTGAAGAACAAGCTTTTTAATTGGGCTAATACTTCAAGTTTATTCGCTTAATGAATCTGTATAAAGTCGGTAATAAGAAAATACATTACATTAAGAAATCACATATTGACGGGTTACAGAGCGAGCGGCGAGTCTATTCTTAGACAACAATGATTCACTAAGTAAGTACTAACTGGCTTAGAGCACTGCATGTTCAATGGCTGGGATAGTTTGAAGATGTATGATAGTTTAAAAAAGTAAGAGAACAGTGTTTTTGTGTCGGTCTGAAGTCCGGTGAAATTGTTAGGTGAAAACATATCGGTAATGTTCTAAAAAGAAAGTGGAATATCATTAATAATAATTAAACGAATAAATCTAAATGTATTGATTCTTTGCATGCTCTATAAGATAAGCCTACTAACTAATTGGTATATCTTTATCAATTATTATGACGTTGGTGACATATTATTATGGCAATCCCATTGAATTCCTTTTGTCAGTTTTCAAAAAATAAAATACAATCATTGATATACATATGTATATTTAGTCGTGTCCTATATATCGATCATTTTCTGAAAATCACTCGTTATAAGCCTATGTATACGTTTTAATTTACCTTTATGTACTATACACTGTATATTAATCTAAATTCGATAAAACGTTTTTCAGTGTATATTGCACAACTCTGTTTGAATTCGATATACCGCCTCCGTGGTCGAGGGGTTAGAGTCGATGGCTTCTTATCCAGTTACCTCTCTGGCGTGGGTTCGATCCCCGGGAGATGCTTTGGTAGTTTAGCACGGAGGAAGGTAGTCTAGAACTTGTGTAACTCTCCAGGAACGATAGTTAGGAAACTACCCGCCTATATGACTGAAATACTGGTGGGAAAAGGCGTATGAAACAAACAAACTAACTAAAAAAAGCATTCGATATGCGTCTCATTAGAAATTGGGTTCAGTGTCCTTTGTTTTAAAAGTCCGTGACATTGATATCAATTTAATTATTTTCTATGAAATATTAATTGTTCATACAAGTACAATCTACTTAAATTCCTTTTCGGGCAACACTGAAATATAAACAGGTCGGAATCAGAATTATCTCTATTTGTTATTGATAACAGCTTAGTAGATTTTTCAGAAACAAAATCATAGGCCTAAATGCTACTGTTGTTGAATTTCTAATTAATATCCCTGAGAGTAATATGTAGACATGCAGACATGATGCCGAGTTGCGGGAGATTGATTGTCATTACCGATAAATAAATTGTGTGACTGTGCACAGAATAAGACCCATGGCCGCTCACTAACGCTTGCTTTCTTCGTTCTATTTATTTAAAAAACAACAACACGTTGTCTGCTTTGACTTTGAAACGGTCTATTACTGACCAATTTAACCTTGAAATAGACTAAAAGATGCTTTGATAATGCAATAAAACATTACTCGTTTGATTTTTTTATTTGGGGGGTGGCACACTAAAATTACGGAAAACGATGGAATTGTTTCAAGCAAGAATAGTATATACAATGTATGACTAGCATTTTATCTCCCCTCAACTACCTTTCGCAGTTCAAGTATCAACTTTTTCCTGTCGTCTGCTACTAGTTTCATTGTTTTACATTTTAAATGTTTTGAACTTCTAGTTGAAATTCAATATCCGCAAGTCTCAGTGAGTTTTACACATAGTTCTTCCTTCCCATGAGATGGAAGAATTAGAAGTTGACTTATTCTAAAACTATTTATATTGCTAGTTTCTAAAATGGGTAGGTAAAAATGTACGAAATAAACAGAAGGTTTTGTTATGGTTCGATTTTTAATAAATTTCCCGTATATGATAAAACATACATTTCTTATGGAAACGAATTGTATATGTCGTGTTTCCCCTTGAAGTAACCATAACATGCTGAGTTTCGATTTTGCGTGTAATATTTATCACAGAAAATGAAAATCTTAATGGTCCATTTATTAAAATTCAACCACAGTTCAAAATACTTCGTTAACCAAGGTATTTAAGTTTATTATTTGTGAAATGAAAAATCTATGTTCAGGTCATGCTGGAGAACTTCTGCTAGAGTTTCCATGTAATCTGATATAAAATTCGACCCAAACACGTTATATACACCCAACCTTCTGGAACTGAAAGCGATTTGGACATAACTTGTCTCTAATATAGCCCCAGTCTAACCAAACCCCATACTGTTTGTAGCTCATATTTAGCCTTTTTACACTGATATCCGTCAATCAAAAATGGTACTAGATAGAGTTATTATTCT